TACTCTTATTCAAGTAACAAATTTTTTATTAATTAAAAAAAATACGTTTTTCATAAAGTGATTATTTATTAAGATGCACACAAGTAGACCGAAGATGAAACCGATAAAAATCTCAAGAGTTCTCTAGAGTGCTCGTATCAATTGCATCATGTGTTCGTATATTCACTTCATTTACGTATAAACAAATCAATGGCGAAGCGGAAAGAGATTCGTTCGGCTAAATAAACTGTGGTGCAATGAAAAATAATATTAAAACAACCGCTGAAATAAAACCCATAGTTCTTGTTACAGCAGTAAAACAGCTGTTTCATTCATCGAACTAAAGCACAAATATTTATCTTTCTATAATAATTACTTTTTTAGACATTTGTTTTAAACATTTATTTGATTATTTCTTGCAAGAAATAATCAAAGGACTTCAAAAATATATCTCGTTTTATCAATTTCATCAGTAAATTTTTAAAATTATGTAATAATTATAGGTATTTTAATTATGTGTGTAATTTTAATAATACATATTTACTCAATTTAAATTTCATTACTCGAAGATATCGAAAAAAATTTGCTGTTTTTCGAAATGATATCTCTGCCATTAAAATGAAATATAGCTAACAAATTGTCTTCGATGTATTAAATATGATATTTTTTATTAACGACATATTATCGCATCGACGATTACGCGATTTGCAATGCTTTTCCGGATAATTACTCGCGCAGGGCATTGAGCTTGAAGCAACCCGGTCGGTGAAAAGTCCCGAGTGCTACGTGACGCGCATTTGCGCGGGTGCGTTCGTCGTTCGGGTGAAACGAGAGGAGGGTTACCGGTGCCTCTTCAGCGAGGGGGAGCGAAATGGCAACGAGAGTCTCGAAATAGAGAGGCTGCGAACCGAAGCGCCAAGGCTAGAGAAAATTATGCGCGCCGTAAAACCTGCGTAGCTTTGCGTGGCACGAGCGCGGTTTTCGTAACGACATGAAATTTGAACGGAAGCGTGCATTTTATTTATAGGAAGTTTACACTGGGACGGAAACGAGCATGCGAAACGAAACGAAATGTGCTCGCGCGAGGGACAGCGCGAAAATCCTCGTTTCTCGTTTCTCTGCGAATCGCGAGTTGCTCGCATGACGCAAATGCGCCTAGCAAATTCGTCTAATGAGTTTAAGCTCCGGTGACTAATAATGGTAATGGAGTAATGGTATAAAGTGTACGCTAAGTTTTGACGCGTATTAAAACGCTATATACTTGGAAACTAGAAATTAAGAATTTATTTCTCCTTCAATGAAAATGGAGTAAACAGCAAGTCTGATTTTAGTCGAGGATGTAAAATAAGTTCGAGTCGCAGGAAAACACGCGTGACAAACAAAAATTCATGGCACGCCAAAGGATACGATGATGCGTTTGAATAAATAAGTAGATATCGTAATAGAAGGTAGAGCCTTTTTTCGAACGACGTAGAATAATTTTTCGAACTATAAAGAAGAGCAAACAAAACATAGTTACTAAAGCTATCACTTTAAAAACGTATACTCATCCCGATCTGTCCATCCAAGAATTTTGTTTACGAGAATCTCTCGCTTTCGGAGAGTAAACATCAAATCTGACCCAGAGAATGCGAAATACTATTTTAACCAACGGAAAATATATTTATAAAGACTTGGGAATGTACACTGAGCATCAATTCTCTCCGTCTACCCGAGAATTTTGTTTTCGATAGTCGTTCTCGTGGGGAGCAAAACATTAAGCCTGATCCTTGTGCTGAGCTGAGGATCTCAGAATGCTTTCTTGCTACAGAAGCAAAACAGGACGCGTGACAGACAGGAAATCGTGGCACGCGTTGGAAACTGCCCGGGGACACAATGGCGCCCCTGGACAAACAAGCATACAACTCGATACATCCGTCTGTCACGCGGCGTTCGAAACACGCCCGTCGTCCCTTTCAGAATGCATTCCTGACCCTCCGGAACCCAACGGAGTTCGCGCTCCACCCTCCAGCTTCTCTCCGCTTCTCCAGCTTTTCAATCCCCTGGCGCATCAGGCCCGGCATCGCGTAATCGTCCATACGATGATACGCCAGAAACCCACCCCTATGCGCGTTTATTCCGGCGCACATTCCAGTCAAACTCGGCGTTGCCTTTCCGAGGCCAAAAAGATCGTATGGAAACACATGACAAAGGGAGAATTGTAATAATAGAGGTATGTATTTATATATTTATGTACGTAGCATGTACGCATCAGAACGAAACAATTGTAACTGGTACAATTTCGATTGTGCAATTCGACTTGCAGTACGCATGGCCTATGGAGGCCATAGACAAACAAATATGAGTTTTGTTCTAGTCACTATTTAACATTGCCGCTTGTTGCGAGCAAACATAAAGATTGCCTAAAGCATTCAAAATTTGAATCTTCCAGAATTATAAATTTGTTTATAGAGGATTTAATATTGGACAATAATTCGATGCAATGTAATACATTTAGCTTTGAAATCTATTACATAGTTTTTTTTATGCTCGGAAAATAATATTTCCAATAAAATTGTATGATTCTACATTTTATTATAATTATTTTTTGTTTTATTGTTTAGATATATGTATATTTTATTAGAAAAAAGATTTTATCTATGAAATATGATTTGTGAAAATTTAATCTTACGATTTAATCTTATGATTCACGCTTTCCGCGCAAAAAGTATAAATATGCATAAAAGTATAAATATGATTTATCATAATATGTTTCTAATAAAGATAACTTTAAATGATTTATAATTTAACTGCGTCTGTAATGTAGAAAATATTTGAATAATATTACATAACAAATAAAATTATAAATAATTCAATTCACTTACAAATTATAGACAGAATAAGATACAACATTATATGTAGAATTATAAACAGATCTTTCATAATCTGTTGTAAATTATAAATCATTTTAAATAAATTTGTAAGCGAGGACTTAACAAGCTAGTTAAATATTTAATATCCTTTACTAAATCCAATGAGATAACTTTTTATAATCCTCGCATAACGCACAAACAAGTGTTTCACTTTATAACCCTATTTTACAAACGGCATTACTCATTGCAGCATTTGCATGCATTACTTAGACTCTTATTTAGCATTACTCCCGCGTTCACACAAATGCACGTACACAATGGATGGATACGTGTGTGGGTGCACATTTCCTATCTGCGTATTCGTGTCGAAGGCGCGCGTGTGCCGTTTTAAGCGCATGTAGGTGCGTGTCCGCGTTTCAAACGTGCGTGCGTGAACCGTGTACGAGTGCGTGTGCCGCGCGAGAAGGGCGAGGGTGTCTCTCGGGTAGGGGAAACTAAACGCGTGTCTTTGGTTTTGGTTTTAGTTTCGTGGCAGTCGCTGCCGACGCCGACGACGACGATCACGATCACGATCACGAAGACGAAGACGAAGACGAAGACGAAGACGAAGACGACGACGAGCCTCTCGAGCGGTACTGATCTCGCGACAAACACACGTGTCTTGTCACTGGCATTATCATTTCCCGACGAGCGAATCGACGTCGCGTGAAAGAGTGAAATATGCCCTTCGATTCGCAGGTGTAGCTGCAGATGGTGTAGCGGCTCGACTAAATCCAAGACTATATCAGTGTCTTCAGTGCCAACCGACTGTATCCCTGGTATACACGAGGATTACCCTGGAGAATAAAGATTCATCCATCTCGAAGTACCGCATGTGTTCCGTTTTCGAGACACTTGAATAAAATTTACGCAGTTCTGTGCACTTGTGAATTTAAATTTTTCTCCTTCTGGCAATTATTGCAGCCTCTGGTATCAAAGGACAGAAGGATCAAAACTGCACTTTTCCTCCAACGCTGTTTCACAATTTACTATGTGTTCTTTAAAAAGATTCTATTGTGCAGTTTCCATATTTAATAAAACGTCCCTTTCATATCATTTGATATTTGATAAAATATCTTCACAAGATTAAAGTGATTATCAGTTAATTCTAAATTTGGAGTACATATCAAAGAACTCCTTTTGAGCCAAATCTTAATTTAAATATAAAATTTAAATCAATTTGAAAGACTCTATTGACAATCAATTGATGACAAGTAGCCTTTGAAGGATACTTTAATAAGTCATATTTCTCACATTAAAGGAGATATTATCAACTCACTATTATCACATTAATAGCTGATTGTGATTGTAATAAAGAGGCATGAAAGTGACACTGCGCGATAGTGCCACCTGATTGCGTTTCTAAATTAAATCGCGTAGCACGCAAAAGGAAGACCACCTACTAAGAATAACGTCAGACGAGGAGCGAGAGGAAGCGGTGGCAAAAAGCGGCATGTGTAAAAGGCACGTGCCCGAGACGCAGGATCAAAGTTGAAATTCCTCGAGAGGGCGGCGAAGGAGGAGGAAGCGCGTTGGCGGTCGGGGGGGGAGTCAAAGCGGACGAAGAGGACGTCGACCAAGAAGCGACAACGACAGCCGAGGCGAAAGTTTCGACCGAGAGAGAAACGTGCGGTAAAAAGAAAGACGAAAAGAGGAGGGGAAAAATGCACCTTGGTTTTGTTAATCAGGAGATTTCGACGCGTCCGGCTTAATAACGAGCGAAAAGAAAAGAGGGGCGTGCGTGAAAGGACTCGTCGAAGGACCTCCGGCCGTGAATTGCGTATCGTTGGCGCCTGTACTTTTCATAGAAAGATCCGACTGAATAGGGCTATAACAAAGAATAAATGTCCGTTCTTGAATAAATGAATAAATGTCATTGAACTGTCGTCGAATGCAGATGTTCGTAGGACAGTGGGAATTTTAAAAAGAGACGATCAAATATTCTCCGTAAAAATTAAACATCTGAAGATTGCAAGGATACATAAATATAAACTTAAAAACTTCTACTATTTTTATGTGGAAATAGTGATAAAAGGAAAAATAAAAATTTATCTTCTGGGATTTATATATTCGATCGTAGTGATCGTGTGTGCGTGTGTAGTGATTATAAATGATAAATTAATTAGTTTTTATGAATAATAATATTAATTAATAATAACAGTGCGCAAAAAAACAATTTAAACGCGACGTTATTCCCAAACATTGATTCGATCGGATCAAAATCGATCGCGAAGACGTCGAGAATGCCACGACGATCTTTCGAATCGTTCGAATGGTCGCGATCGAAATTGTTCTGGAATCAATATCTGCCTCGCGAAAAGGATTGCCGTTGAACTAACACTGTGTGTTTAATTGAAAAAAGAACTCAATACGATCGCAGAGCAATCGAAATCGAATGCTGCTCGTCGCGACAAGAGAGTGGATCTGATATATTGCGTACAATTAAGCCTCGATTCTCGATACAAGACGATATCGAGATGCGCTGCACATTGGAATACATACTTCTGACGAGTCTGCTGATGGTGCTAAAGTCTTGTCGAATGGGCACAGCTGCGGAGGAGCCGATACCGGAATTTCAGAACAAAGGTACGAGTCAAGGCTCGAATTTCTTTATTCTAAAATATTATTCGGAAAATTTTCACCATAAGAATTCTTTCTATTATTAAATTTACCGCTGGATACATATATTATGTGATTTCACTTATATTATATAAAAAAATATAATTAGAACACATTTATTTGCTCTTAAATTTACCTTAAAAAATTTGCACTCGATGACACATCACACATAGAAGTTGATGCTTTAGACACTCTGCATATTTGCATCCATTTTCCATCATCAACTTCCATCTGCAGACATTTAAGCTCTCGTTGCCCGAAACTGTCAGAAGATTGACATCTAATTAGCAGGTCGAATCCGTCAACGAGGCTATTAACGTAGTACTCCCTTGAAGTTCAACGTGCTTTCGAAGTTTACACTTGGCTATGTTTAGTTTACGTTTACATGCTGACCTATTAACTTTATATTGACATCATATATGTAGAAGTAAAGTTTCACAAATTTCCTTCGAGTTGCTAAAATGATTTTGCATTATATTTTGATATCTCATAATCTTTTTAGAAAGCGATATCAATTTTCTATCTCTTTAAAAGTGATATTAATTCATCAATTTAGAAACTTTTTACAATATCTTTCTAATACGATTATTAATCGTAATGATTAGCACAGAACTGTCAATAATAATTAATAAGTTACATAAATATAATTTATTACCTATTATTCTATAAATATGTATAATTAAAAAATAATTTAAAAATGTATGAAATAAAAAGGTCTGTCGCGGGTTCTGTTATGTAATTCGTGAAATACTTTGATACTTTTGATCATCGACATACCAACCGGAAGGATTTAAATAAACTCACAGACCCGCATGCAACTTACTGACGTTTTAGCGTTCGTAAAATTTAATCAAGGCACCGTTTGTGTAGCTCAATCTCCAGTGCATCACAAGCAGTGATGTGTCGTTTCCTGTTTATAACGTATCGTTGCAACACAGCAATATCTCAATTCGCATAGGAGAGGAAGCAGATAAAACTGATTCTACTCGTTATCGTGCAAAGAATACCGCGCATACGCGTGAACATTTTAATTAATCGTATTACGGAACGATCCGACAAGTGCAGTAATAGGCTACGCCACGACGGTAGACGAGGCAAAAATTGAAACAGCTGTTGAAATAGACGTCGCCAGTTTAATTTGGCGAGTCTGCCGACGTTCGCCGCTATGCCAGAATAATTACATTATTAATCTCAGAGTTGCCGACTCTCGGAAAATCGCTAAGACAGCCGTGAAAAAAAAGATATCACGGCAAAACCCGGAAGAGAGAGTATCTCGGTTGTAAAATGCAACAAGCGGAATTAAACTCGTGCATTTTACGGTCATGAAATAATTGCGAACAGTATTTTTGGTCAGTGTTAGGCAGTGTTGGGCAGTGTTGGGATTCTTATGAATGCAATAGTTTAATAATTATTTAATAATTCACAAATTGCAAATTATATAATACATACAAAAGTAGAATTATTTCGCATTTATTGCTCTTTTTTTCTTTTTAAATTAGTATTTTAAAGTATTATTTTTCAGTTAATTAAGACATAACGAGAAAATTATGAATTAAAATAATATTAAAATAATAATGTTTTTTTATTACAGCCTTTCTCTTTTTAAAATTATACATTAATGTCTTTCTCTTTCTAAAATTACATATATCGAAACAGAAGAAAAGTATTGAACCACAACGTGTTAAAGTAATGAATAATGCAAATGGGAGCGAGTTGCGATCAGAGATAAAACGATCGCGCGCGATATATTCGCGATATAATAAGAGCAGCGTCAGCCAAATTCTGCCACGTGCGAAGCGGTAGATCGTAATAGGAAACGCCATAAGCGCACATCGGTGAGTGGATATTTTTGTCGACGGTCTCTTGCGCGCGGACAGCGAATCTGAATGCGAGAACTCAGATGATGCCGAGTTTGCGAAAGAATTCGCACGACTTATTTTCAGCGGCAAAGAAGTCTTCAAAATCTTCGCCTATGTCGCTATAAATTTCATTAGTCACATAATAATTGAAATAATTTCATCAGGAATCAACCCTGCGAACAAATAGAAATTTAAAAATATCATTGTAAATGTCAAGTAGCGACAAATGTGTACATAATTTCATCAATAATTATTGAAAATTTAGCTGAATATATACAGATATATGCAAGAGAGACTTCATAAAGCTCTGATAACTTTATAATATTGATCGTTTAGTTGTTTACAAATGGCTACATGGGAGATGATAAAATCTTGTCATTTATCATTACGATCATGTAGGTATCACGAGAGCCTTTACATGTTTGTCTAACAGTAAAAGTCATGCGGAACGGCCCATTGCGAAAGCAACACTTTCTGTGAAATGAAAACACATAAACCATTGCAAGCATGCTTTTCGCGCTCGGGAGATCACCTTTGGTATCGTTGCATCGTACATCTCAACGACTCCCTCGACATGCTAATCTGATACACAGTTCAATTTGCATTTTGCCTATAAAATGTGTATAATATAAGCGACCTTTTTGTACGAAACAAAAAAATCAATGTACGAAAAAACTTCGAAAGCTCCCTCCAGGAAAAATAATATAGTGGAATATTTCAAAGAATAAAAATACTTTAAAGTATAACAGAATATTTTGAAGTATAAAAATAATTTGTTGAAAATATACATAGATTAAATATAGGCCGTTTAATAATTAATTGAAACTTAAAATTTAGTAATTAATTTCATAAAAATATCTATTTAATGCCAAATATGTATGAATTTAAAATAATTAGCAAATTATAGTAGTGCGCTTTAATAATTTTTTGAAATATTAGTTGTAAATTATGTTTTCAACTTGCTGATATACTTTTAATTAGTTGATGCATGTTGTCGTTTACAAATGTCACAAATGATAAAGTGGAATAGGACAATAGGATTTCTCATTAAATAGAAACAAGAGTTTGTTAATTGATCTCAAGGCTTTATGCATGGTAACTATGCATTGTTCTCAACATCTAATTGAAAGCAGTAAACATTATCAGCATATTAACATTATCAGCATTGCATGGATCGCGTGGCATGCATATTTATATATGTCTCTGATAAATTATTATATTATTTAATGTTTTTTTATATAATCGCACGCATTCTATCGCTTCATTGATTCGATTCTTAATCGCTCATTCATGAAACAACATCCAAGTTGTAATTAATTGCAGCGTTTTGACCTTTGTCCAACTACTGACATTAAACTTCTATGTCACATGTTACTAGTATTATGGGCGTATTATACACTATGATTAATTATACTATAATTATATGGAAAGATAAATCGAGATAATATACAGACACATTACATACACCATATTACTTAAATATTTAATAGTTTGAATATGTTATACATTAATATATAATTATCGAAATAATTTATGATTAAATCGATTTCAAGTGATTAAAACAAATTATTATAATATAATTTGTTGAGACTAGGAAATTATAAATATTAAAATAAAGACAGAATTTTTTTTATATATCCACAAGATCATAATTATTCCTATAAAAGATTGATACAATCGCAATCTATTATTTTTGCCATTTAAATGATAATTATGAAATATGTATTACGTACGCTATTAACATTTAAACTTGAGATGGTCAAGGGTCGAAGGACAAAATAGCGAGGTGGAACATAGAGAAAGGGTTGCCCTTTGAAAACGGAACAAGAACAGGTTTGCCTAACGTAACGAGGAAACCACAGGGTGTGCGGGTCAGAGCATTGGTGAAATTATCATACAAAGTGGTCAAAGGTATCCTCGCGTATCCCCTCTCCTTCCATCCCTTGGGATGAACCTTGGGATAAACAGCTTACAGGGAGGTCGAAACGAACAGAAGGTGGTCGACCGAAAATCGACGTAATCGTCGGGTTGCGTGTAGCTCGTTATTTCGAAACAGATCCGAATAATTTAGGTAGGTGGCCACATGGTCTTTTTAAATAATTACCAGGCATCGAGATGAAATGCATTACCTATTTTTTTAAACAAGAAATTTATGTGATCACCTCTGTAACTCATCGTTGAAACTCGATAAATCATATCTTTATATCGATCATTTATTATTCGGTCTATTATTATTAATTATTCTCATCTCGAATGAGGATAATTTCATTTTATGTTATTATAGCATGCATGCAAGCTTGTTTACAATTTATCATTTATTTAATATTATAACTTTAAATATTTGTAATAAAAGAAATATTATAGTATTACTACTATTATTATTCAAGTAATAATTTACGAAATAATTTTAATATGTGCGATTTTGTTTAACTTTAAGAAACATTTTACAAAGTTTCTTATAAGGTGCGTTATTGAGTTTTTCGAGGACGTGCTTTTCTTACGAATATAGAAGAGTTTATATCAGAATGATAAACACGACCGCGAATCGTTCGATCTATCAACAGATCGATGCGCAGTCGAATGAAAGGAAGGACAGAGAAAGAGGCCAGGCTATGGTACGGAAATAGACATATGCGACCGGAAACACGATTTCCCAACGAACACACGATACAAAAATAGCAGAGGAACTTGTCCCCTCTTGGCCGGCTATTATTTACATAACCGCGCGATACGCGAGTGATTTTTTCAGCGCTCCAGATCAACTCTTCTAAAAAAAAATAGTCTCTATTCCTTGCATAAGAAAACAAGAGGAACAAGCGCAGCGATTCACTTAGAACTCCACAAACTGCTTTCGGTTTTTCTTTCATGAAAGACAGGTGGATGCAGTGCTCAAAAACAACAGGTTTATCCTTCTTAACTGTACCCTCTTACATTTTTTTAGTTTGAATTTGAAATGAAAGATATGTATACTTAATACGCCTTAAAAAAAGAGGAAACATGAGCGTTTTTATCTCGCAGTCAAAAGAGTAAGTGATAGATTATAAAATATAATAGAGCTTAAACTCGGTCTCACAAATCATATGAATCAATATATCGGTCAAATGAAAAAACGGTAAAGAAAATATATCATTAAAAATTTTTGTGATTCCAACGTCATACTTCCTAACGCCATACTTTATTTCTCACATATGGCAAAGTATATAAAATAACTTGATTATACTTATTATATTTTTTTTCTTAAAAATTTTTGAGTGAGAGTTTATTTAATATATATATTTATAAAATTATGTAATATATGTGTATAAAAAGTTTCGAAATTCTGTGCACCGCTGCGTACGCGAAGAGAATGCTCAACCACCAACGCACAACTTAACAGGATGCTTAGTCGCATCCCTCTCGGCAAGTCCTTAAAAGCTCAGTGGGGCCGATGAAATACATAGTGGCGTACTAATGAAGCGGTTCTTCGTGAACGGCACTGTATCGTTATGCTCGTGTGGCCACGTGCATGATATTGTGCATAACACGAAAGGAATGCATGGATATATGCGCTTTACTAAACTCTAATCTTATGCGAATAAATAAATAACGGAACGCATGAAAATCTATATAATTTATTTTCTCCTCTTTTGCATCTTATTTAGAATGTAAATGCGTGCAAGATAAAAATGTCTCATTCATATGTATGTATTCTAAGCACTATTATACGCTAAAAATGTGTCACATAGATCCATTAAATTCTACCAAAAGAAAATACTTGATATAATGATTGACGAGAGATATATTGGTGTATGTGTGTGTGTTCACAATAAAGTTATCAATGAAATACCAGGATTAACAGAACTCGCGTGTGACTCGCACACGTGCGTCCGGTCGGTTGGCCTGCGTTATATCGCTTCTATTTTCCGCACTGCTACTTCGTAACGAGATGTGACGAATTTAAGTTTAAGTCGTGCGTAGAGATGCATAAAATTATAGACAATGGTACATCAAATCAATGCTCGTCAAATAATTGCGAGCTGGCAAAGTTACACGGCGAAGTAAACTATTTTCGCCAAGAGTACGAGAAATCCGGAAATAATAGACAAAGGCTTTTTCAGCGCCCATTTAATTTTTAGTTTTGCATTTAACTTAATTTTTAAGTTTTCATCGAGCTATATATATAATTCTAAAAATTATATCATTTCGTAGCTAAAGAATTAAATTTATATAAAATATTCATGTATTTGTGTTAAATAAAATACTCATATATTAATGCTTTTTGTCTTTTTTTTTCAATATATTCCATTTATAATATATTTCAAAGTTATATACAATATATAGTTATAATCTTAAAAAAATATATTATATTTTATATAATATATTTTAACGCAATTTATATGAAATATAATATATTTCATATAATATATTTTAATATTAAAATCTAGAATAAAATCTAGAATATTTAAAATTAAAATCTAGAATATTTCGAAATAATGTTAGAGAGAGAGAGAGAGAACGATATTTTTCCGTAGTCTTCGATTAATGCTAACACTTAAGCGATAAACTCGCTGATTTATATATTTTTCTACCAGTCATTGTGGGCGGCAGCGCAAAAACGTATAGTTTGTATATCATGAAAATGATCTATATCTCGATTTGTAAATAGGTTGATGTATGTGATGATTATTGATTACAATTTCCAACAGGGACAAGGAATATTTTCATACTTTTGTATAAATTATTTTTTGACTGAATCTCTTGACATAGAATCAGTAACAAATATTAAAATTATTAATAAGTCAAATTTATGATTAACTAGGGAGATACATGTATTTAAAAATATGTAATTTTTTAAATCTTTTCTCAGCACCGGTGAGATTAGTCTGGGCAACCGAAGGAGACAATGTGGAGCTGCCATGCGACATTACACCACCGACCCCAGAGGATTCGGTCAATATGGTTCTCTGGTTCAAGGACAACATCGGTATACCACTCTACAGGCAAGTCTCTCTTGCGCTTTAAAAATAATCTTACCTATTTGATACTATTTTTACACAGCATTGGCGCCATAAAGATGGTACGACGACCTATCTAAACTTAACTTTGCAGAAAATGTGGTCAGCAATTCTCAAAAAATAAAAAATTGTTGTTAGAAGTGTATTAAAAATTAAATGAAAAAATAGAGATCTATAGAAATTTCTATGTTCTCTATAAAAAATTTATATACAGATCAAGGGGCGCACTTTTTTGGAACGCAATAGAAGCAAATTTTTTTTCTTGACAGCGCATAAGGTATGTTCTCGAGCGCATAAAAATGTTCCTGCTGCTGTCGACTTCCTGCTTTCTGGGAACTCGCGGAAACTGATTCACATGACGTTGACTTTTGGTCGAAAGTTGGACTGCCGGATGTTGGCTAGGCCCGCATTATTGTGGGAGATGAGATGCCATTGTTCTGAAGCCGCATCTCGAAATATCTCGGCACGAAATATCTGAGCCCGAGCGTGAACTTTTGCATTTATAGACGCCACCAACGCGTGCTACTCATAATAAATATAACGAGCATTAACAATCAATCTAATTTAACACGCTCTATTTTCATATTAAATATTGCTTTAGAAGAGAAACAGTATAATTAGATAATAAAATTACACGCAATTAATATCATGGTAATTTTACATAAAAAGAACAAAAATACTGACATTTTGATATATTGATATACTGATTTTTTATTTAGAAAGCATTAAAATGATTAAAGTTAATCAAATTAAAATCACCTCACACACATATATATATATATTAATAAATTAATAAAAAATTGATACATAATATTAAATTTTTTAATACAGTCATATTATTATTATTATTTTATACAGATCAAAATATATTTGACTATGCATTACGGAAACTTTTTTAGAAATTATCACTTGTCAAGTTGTATCAAATTTATTCGGAAGTTTATCATGTGAGTGTGTAATTATAAAAATAATTGTATATTAATATATGTATGCGAGGAGGGGAGTTCGGAAGGGAAATTGAGTTAGATCAAGATTGTATATAAATTATTCAATCAAATTTTCATGAAAGCGTGGCATGATGAAATTTTATAACACTGGTTAACTTTCAGAAATAGCAGTCGATTGAATACTTTTTTCGGCTAATATAAGCATAAGAGTGGTATTGTTTATTTACAAAAACGATTCCTGGAATCATAAAATAAGATATTTTCTTAAATCACCACCCCATTCGCTTGTCTGTAACAATAAATAGCTCCATGTAAAATTTGCACATGTATTTGAAGAATTTTTATTACGAAGATCTGCTTTTAGAATTCTTGTACTTTGTTATTTGCTAAAAAATGGAAATGATGTAAATTATTAAATATTTGAATATTGATAACATTTTAATTAATTTTTAAGCATCATATATATTATCTTCATTGCAAGGCACATTTTTTCAAACATAAAAGTAAATGTGTATAAAAAAAGTGGATAATATTTATAATTTTCATAATCAATCCATCATGAAAATGCATTATTTATAGGACGAATTGAAATATATAATTAACATTTTTTTCGTTAAAATTTTTTTAATTGAAAAAATTGTATACTATTGGTATACTTTTTACTATTGGTATACTTTTTCTTCTTTATATTTCACTTCGTAAAAAAAACTTTATGATCCTCGAATTTCTTGAAATAACAAGAGAATATATAAACAGCTAAAAGTGTAACAAAAATACAGTGCATCATGCAATATCTAGGCGATAGAAAGAATTATTAAACAGTAATTATTAAAGCCATGGTTCGAGGTTCAAGGCTCAGATGAAGGCTCATTAAAGAACATAGAATTTAATAAGAATATAGAATATAGATAATATCAAAAGATCTTCATATAAGAAAATATAATAAGTAAAAGAAATCGCAGAGCGTCAAAGGAAAACGCAAACAAATCACGAGGAAACGTAAACCAGATTTTTATTGCTTATCTTCTATTAGAGAAAATTTATTTGCAATTGTAATTATTTGCTGTAAACGATATAGAGCATTAATTTAAATCTTTTCAATAATTTTGTGACCAATTCGAATCATGATTGAACCGAAACTTAAGTTGATTGTTGGGCCTTCTCATTGCTCTTTTCGTTTTATGTTTTAAAATTCTCTGTAGCGGAGGACGTTTTTTCATGCATTCATAGAAACCTTATATTTTCGCTCTAACAAATAAAAGATGCCTCTGTTCAATTTCATGGTACGTGATCCGAGTCACGCGGGATGAAATTTTTCGATCTCTGTTACCTTTGACTTAACTTTGATGGTCGTTATCAACCGCATACCAGTGAATCGCACGACGCACAATCCTTTGATGATTTCTCTCTTTTTTGTGTTTTACCGTCGTTTTTCCGCACGCCAAAGCGATTTCCTGTTCCTGCTTTACGTAACGTTCAGCTCGCTAAAGCAGCTGGAACCTAAATTCGCGGTTGGCGAAGCCTGCCAACTGTCCTTTTTTCGGCCGCGAATAGGCGCGGTGCACGCGAGTTTAGTCACCGTGAGTCGCCAATTGACGAAAGTGCGATGTTTACCAACTTTCCGCTACCGGAAATACTAAACATCGTTATGGAAGTTTAGAAGAGGAAGAGATTTCCTCTTGGCCAATTTAATGGCGCTTCTTGGCGTGAAACCTAACTTTTCTTGCAATAACAATAATAAAGAAAATTTGTATCTTTTTATCCAGAAAATATAGTATAAATAATTTTAATAAATAGTTTTAAATTCTTTAGATTTATGATGTTAAAAATAACATTAACATATTCGATTTTAAAATGGTTTAACAATAAACTGTATTTTTAAAAATAATTAAAATTTAATCACTCCGATTATTTATTATTTATATTATAATATTATATTATATCAAGATGTTATATCAAGATATTATATCAAGTAGTATTATATCAAGATGTTTATTTAATCTTTTTAAATCTTGTAAAAGAATTCTTTAATTTTTCAGATACTTTTCTTTTTAAAAATTCTAGGTAAAGAAAATATTTTAAAGATTTCTTTCGTACAAATTTCTAAAATAAGTTTTCTTATTAGATTTGTCTTTTAATGTTTTTTACTCGTATAATGGAAAAATATAGAACCTCTTAATTTTCAAGTGTTGGATTTATAAAATTAAAAAACTGAATTACTTTAAAAAAAGCATTTTTTATTTGCATAAAATTTTCATTTTGCATCATTAAAAATTACAGTAAAAAGCATGTACTTCATATTTAATATTTTATTAAAATATTATGAATATATAAACAAATAAGTATAGATATGTATTCATAATATATTTTAAATACATATAATTTACTTGACTTGTCGACTATTTACAATCTAAAAACAAAATTACCAACGAAAGAATTTTTTAATGAAATTCTCTGAATTCCAATAAAATTTTATAAAAATTTTCTGATTTATCTAGGTAGAAAATATTCCACAAAATTTCAGATTTTTTATATTTTTCCAGCGAATAGATTATGATTATATATTACTTGATTATATATATTACGAGATAGTTTAATTTTGATTCACCTATTTTTCTCTACAGCCTGGATGCGAGAAACGGTAGTTTGGCCAACGCCATTCATTGGGCAGTAAGCGACGATCTCGGAAGACGAACGTACTTCCAGGTCGGCGACGGTCACCGAGCAAGATTGAAAGTTACCAAGGTGACGTTGAAAGATCAAGGTATCTTTAGGTGCAGAGTGGATTTCGTGGATTCTCCGACACGAAATTTCCGCGTGAACCTAACTCTAGTTGGTAACTATCACATTTTACAGAGTGTGATAAGAGTAAAATATCATTATACCATTACATTTTTTACTTTTTTCAGAGCAACCAAGTAAACCTGTGATATATGATGCCCAAGGACGAGAGGTGACAGGAATAGGAGGTCCTTTTTTGGAAGGTTATAGCCTTGCTCTGACTTGTCAAGTGTCTGGAGGTATAAAACCTAATTTTATTCAGTTAAATTTTATCATCAATATATATTAACATGTTTTAATATATATATGAATATCGCTTTATTATTATATCTATAATATTGTCGCATATTATTATTATTAATTTAAAGAATTTTATGCAAGTTGATTCATAAAAATTGCATTTGTAATTGTTACAGGTAGACCTAAGCCCTCGGTAACTTGGTGGAAGGATGGCGAGTTGCTGGATGGCGTGATAGATACTGTACCTATCGGCTCGCCGAATAGATTTACGGTGAATGACCTATTTGTCGACAAAGTCACCAAGTCACTGTGGGGAGCGAAGCTCGAATGTAGGGCACAATCAGGACCAATGGGAAAACCTATCGTCCGCGAGGTGTCTCTCGACATATATCGTAAGTATTGCATTTTGAATGATACAAAATTACATTCGGAGAATTTCGAGGAATTAAAATCGATTTTATGATTCTAAAAAATAAAACTAAAGAAAATACAGTTCGTGAATTATATTTTCAAGCTAGTTTCAAGTCTCGGCAATGATTACGAGCTCGTAAATCTTTCGACGATCGCATCCCATCGAGCACATCTTCTGATGCTTTCTTGACTTATTCAACGTTTGAGCGACGATGAAATGCAAAAGGGCGGCATTTCGAAGAAGCGAATCATAAATGCTACGTTAACGTGACATCTGCTTAAAATAAAATCGAAGAAACACTCTTCAAGGCCGTTCCCTCGATTCTAAGCACGTGCTAAAAAGCGGTCTTAAGTAGTATGTGTTAAAAGGCACTCTTGGCACGTTTTATTCGATCGACATGTCGCGCTTCCGCTCTCTTTCTCTCTTTGTTTTCTCTTTCCTTCGCCTTGTTCTTGTATTTATTTTTAAATCAAGATAAACAGGAAGACCATCGTGCTTTGCATCTGCAAGAAGTATATAAAGCAAATACTTGTTGCAATTCTCAAGAAATTAAAATTAAATATAAATATCAAATTTATGTTTCAAGTTATTATGCAAAGGGCAATTATTTATTTTTAATTTAAAGAAATATATATATATATATATAAATTATGTTTGTGTGTGTAACTTTTATTATGTAACTTGAAAAATATATTAAATGTCAGAAATAATTATAACATATTTAAATTTTCAGTTTATTTAAAATTTTTTAATTCTATTGCATATCGAATTTTTTTTGTTTTTTTATTGTAAAAAGATAAAAAAAGAAAAACAATTTGAGAATAAAATTCACAAAATATTCTATGTATATTTTTCAATCAAATAAGTTTTATCGTATTATATTTGGTTTTTTTTTTAATATCTGTCATATTCTCTTATATCCGAATATTGGCGAAAAAAATTTAAACACAGTAGCAATTGACGCGCAGCGGAAGCGAGATGAATTCCAACGATTTCACGCGGATCTTCTTAACTCCTTTGACGGTCGCATTTCGCAGAAATTGTCGTCTAAAAATAAAAATACGCGGGCGGGTTTCGGGACGACGGGCATCTGGCCCTCTTTTGGTCCTCGTTATTTTTGTGGCACAGCGCCGACAACGCAGTTCTCGATTCGCTTATAATTTTTTGCATCTAGCAGCAGCATCATCATCCTTCGCGTCTACGCAGATGTAAATTTTTGACGACAAATGTCAATCTTTGTTAGACTTCCAGGCGTTTCTTACTTCTATATTTTGCTTTAGATTAGAAATCTAAAGTTTCAGTAGAGTCAAAAAGACAGCAGAAGATATAGCAAACTATTGTGAAAATTTAATATATTCGTATGATTTAATCTTTTCTTATTAATCCTGTTGTTTTTTTGTATGTTTTAGTGAAACCAGCGATCGTGAAAATCGTTCTGAGCGAAGATCAGATCTTTGCCGGTCGTCCGATCGCCGCTAGATGCGAAACTTGGGGTAGTTCTCCAGCGGCCAGGATCATTTGGAGGCTGGGAGAACATGTGATGGGCGATCCCAACGTATCCACCACGCAGAGAAGTAATTCGACAGTGAGCAAACTAGCTTTGGTCCTCAATAAGGATGACGATGGCAAGGAATTGATTTGTCGAGCTGAAAATCCGAGATTTCCTGGAGGAGTGCTCGAGGAAGTCAAAACACTTCATGTCTCTTGTGAGTTTCCAGTTTTTGACAATTATTTTAAGTCGAGTCAGTCGAATAACATGTCAAATTTACGATAATATAATGTGTAAATGTATTTAAAAATATAATTTTAATTTTTTGCTTTTAAAGAGTGAAATTCTCATATTATTCTCGCTTTTTTTTTGTTTATATTTCTCAAATTTAATAGTTTCAAGAATTTTCAAATATTTTTTAAAATTCAGGTGGCAAGAAAATTTAAAAAAATATTTCTTTTACCATTTTTTTATTTCCTCAATTTTCCTAATCTCTTAAGTTCTTTGCTAAAACAACAGTTGCGAAATTAAATACTATAATATATAATGACGCAATTCCTCGAATTACAAACAGATGCTCCAGTAGTCGTTGCTCGTTTGGCCACTGGCTACGTCTTAGATACTTTGAGGGAGGGCGACGATCTCAAGTTAGTCTGCGACGTTCAAAGTAACCCACCACCGATGCAAGTGATTTGGTATCACGATGTGAGTAGAAATAGAAAGAAAGAAGGAAAAAGAAGGGAAAGAGTCTCGTTATTCGGCATGATTTATTGCTATTCTCGCGTTCTTATCCGCAGAATCAACGACTGGAGCATAATGTGAACGCCGGAATTTTGTTGGCTTCAAACTCGTTGACTCTTCGAGTCCTCACGCTCGTACACGTCGGCGAGTATTCCTGTGCGGCCACGAACACCGTGGGAGAAACTCACAGTCCGCCGCTTTTTATTCACATGAAATGTGAGTAGTCGCTTTTATTTATCAGCACGTCATTCAAGAATCATTCCTGTCAGAATGAATTGTTTTCACGTCTCGAGTATTAAATTAAATTTAATTGCAATATAAATTAATATGTATAAATGTAATATAAATTAAATCTCGTATTAATAAGCCAAGCTTTTTAATCTAATTATTATTTGAAGTTTGATAAAAGCTTATGATTTTTTATTATTTAAAATGTTAAAAAATTTTTATTAAAATATGTTAAAAAAAATTTATAAATATAGATAAAAAATAATTAGCAATCATTTTTCTAAGAAATTTTTCTAAGAGAGAATGAATTTCGTTTTCCATTTTTCATAACAATTCAAATATTCGATAGATGCACCGAGATGCAGAGAAGGTAACGAAAGAAGAGAGATCACTGTCAGTCGACACGAGACAATATCGCTCATGTGCGAAGTGGAAGCGCTACCTGACGATCATGTGCGATTTTCATGGACTTACAACGGTACTATCGGAGATGTTTTACCTATTCTAAATTCGAGGGTCGAGAATAAAGGTCTCACGAGTGTGCTAGAATATACAATTAACGCTGATATCGATTATGGTACGCTGGCTTGTTGGGCGAGCAATAGCATTGGTCGCCAAAGGACACCTTGTATTTTCAACATCATACCTGCTAGTAAGTCATTCATTAATTACGAAAAGTAAAAGAAAAAAATATTTTTTTAACAATTAAAATATAAATTATTCTTATACGTAATACTTTTTAAATATTAAATTCGTATTTAAGTGTTCTTTACACTTAAACATCGATTTTTTATCAGAACCACCGCAATCACCACTGGACTGCGCATTGCACAACGAGAGTAGTTCACTAGAGGTTAATTGCATCCCGGGATCGGACGGCGGGTCTCCGCAGCACTTTTTACTAGAAGTTCGAGGATCTCTTAAAAATTCCATCATCGGCCAAATTGATCCTCATACTCTTCAAACACCTCAGAGCGATCAGGGGATGGTCGGGGAATCGCCGCCTATTTATCAAGATATGAATCCGACTCCACACTTTCAACTTCACGATCTTGAACCAGGATACGATTATACAGTGTATATTTACGCGATCAACGGACGTGGCAAAAGTGAACCCGCTCTTCTGGAAAACGTCAGAGTCGCGGAATCTATCGGTGGAAAGATGGAGAAAAGTGGGATTTTTCTGGAGGATCTAAAAAAAGCGCTGCCGCAAGCCAGTTCTGAAAATATGATCATCGTTATTGCATTGACAGGTAAAATCAACGTTCATAATTTTTTTAATTCAGTTCCAATGTACATTTCATTCTAATGTACAAATTTCATATAATTACTTTATCTAGCTTTAGTTTGATGCTAAATTTAAATTTGCCGTTTTAATTATATTTTTATTAATATAATTTGTCGTATTTATTTACATATAACTTTTAACTTATTATTAAATTACTTTTCTTTTTTCTATACGTTAAGGTAGAAAAGTTATTTCTAAAAACAAAATTTTCAGGACGTATTTTGTCGCCTTTAGAGTTTTAGATCTTAGATTTCCATTTAAACTTTGCTCTTATTGTAACACGATTTAAAATTAATTTTTTGTATAATTCAATTTTGGATTCTAAAGGCGCGGCAGCGTTGGTCTTCATCGGTATCGGAATTATTATCGGCCTGGCAATCTGCAGGAGAAGATCAAATACTACCATCATCGAAGGTCCGGACGATTTCACTACGCCGACCTATGTTCCAGGTCATAGGATCGAGCCTAGAATCAGATATTCTAACGAGAATAGACGTTCTCAAAGAACAAGTCTTTACATCGAAGAAAATCGAAAGGGTACTTTAATAATGATTTGAACTTGCTGATAAGTTGGTAATTTAAGAGAAAATAATTTCTTAATTATTTTTTTTTCAGAGCCGGATTTACTTAACCGAATGGAGCTCGATGTGCGAGATTAATTCTGATTTTGTACAGCTAGAAATAATCGAGACACAAAGTGCAATGTAAAGTAGTATTCCATATATAAAATTGAACTGCTTCGCATATAAATCGGTATGTTCTATTCGTGTAATTAATCTGTTAGTAAACTAGTAACTAGAAGTATCACGGTTGTCGGCTGTAACGAGTAACTATTAGCCATATATAATAAATCATTTCACTCGAACGCTTGAGCAACGCTAGTATTTACGATTCAATCGAAGAAGTTGCCGATCTTCATGCAAATCGAGGCGTTACGAAACATTCTATTAGTTATTTATATTCATTTTCCGTGAAACGCTTGGTCGTGCGATTCAAGGAGATCGACGATCGAAATTTGTATTTTAAATTGTATAGAATCTAGAGTTAAAATAGCGTTAAATGTACAGTTATTTTTACAACGTAGAACGCGCTAAGACATCGGAGATCCTGCATACTTCTAAGTATAATTTTATTAATATGTCGATCCTTAAAAACGTGATTTTGTGTACCTTTTTCTCCGTCGTACAACAGACTGCTTCAAAAAAAGTAAACGTCATTTTTAAATAATTTAGAGATTTTTATAAATTTTAATCGCGCAGACAAAATTTGAGTTCATATATTTAATAAACAAATGTATAATATTTAATAAATTCTATATTTATTTCATGCATTTTTAATCTTGTGCGAAGCTATAATCAATTACTTATATTTTGAATACATTCTTTTTTTGAAGCAGTTCATAGTTAATAAATTATTGTATAATCTTTGATCAGCGTAGTTGACGCTATTCCATACGATTATTGTAAATACTCATGTATTGATTAATATAAATATAATTTTAAAGAAAACAAAATGATCAGATTGTTAATGATTAATAATCAATCAGATTAAAAAGACTATATTAAATGAATTGTTTTTTTATCTCCACTCCTATTTTAATTGCACGTCTAATATGTAAAAATTTATAATTTAATTAATATTGATATTTTTAAGTTATTTTACAATTAATAATGATAATTGTTTTCATAAATCGTCTCTATGTATTCCTATGTTTTATATAACAAAGCATCGAAATTACTGACGTTGAAACGTTAATTTAGCAATTTGCCGATTATTAATAATAATAAAGCTGCTCGAACCAGCTACTGATTTAATTATTCATTTTACGAACATGTCTGACGTTCGTATATAACTAGTTATAATATATATATTTACTGAATATTTGCTGAATACAATATTTTACAATAAGTGAACTGACATTTGATACATTGGAATCTGATTTAAACGAATCATAAGATCGATTATAAATGCTTTTCTGCAATATATTATGAATATATGTTAAATTTCTAACATCGATAAAAAAGCATTTTGTCTAATTCCTAATATAAGTAACATGAACTAATTAATCTAATCATAAGAATGTCTCGAATCTATTATGGACAATCAATGTATGCAAAAAAAAATGTTTAAAGAAAGGATTAAATTACTCTATATCTTTTGAAAGCCAAAACGTGATCTACGTTATCAGCTATCAATATAACAACTGATGCATCTCACGTAGTCATACGTATGAAAGCGCCACATGTATGAAGAAATAACGTATCCAGTTACATTTATCTCTATCATACATTTATTATAAAATCTAATCAAATTTATTTTTTTCATAATTATTAATCGTAGAAATTGAAAATTAACTAATTTCATTCTTATCTTGTTTATTTTTTCCGGATTTTTCATATAATAGCGTTTTTATATATAAATTTTGTAAAATTGCTCCTATGCTTATTTTACAATGTCGTAAAATCAATTCAGAGATTTATGATTTTATGTATTAAGGTCGTAAACATGCATATTGGAATGAATATCAACTATGCATATCGTTTTATATTCGTGAGAACAAACACTTTTCCGTGAACAATCCATTAATGAAAACTTCATCAACGTCGGAATAATTATCTCGCTGCATATGACAGCTGTCCCATTTCTGTAAATTGCCTAGCAGTAGGTTGTGATTTAGAGCCATGAATTAAATATGGTGCGACACATAGAGGGTCATATTATAATCCGCGAGCGAATTATAATTTTTGACAAAACACATCATTACAAAAATATTTTCGTTCGCGTGTCAATCATGTAAGTTACATCAGCCAATTGAATTATCCGATCTCTCTTGCGACACCATTAAAATAATTATATATTTAATATGCAACATTTGCAGTTTGTATCGTCGATTTACGAGTAATGTCACAAGAGACTGGCGTTAATATCGCAATAGGTAGGATAAAAAAAATTCATGATAAATAAAATATGATAAATAAAATAATGTTATCTCACAAATGTTGCTCTCATAAAACGAGTGAAAAACGCGTACATGATGAGCTAATAATTAATAACTTTACGCAGAATTAAAGAAAAGAAGTATTGTTAGTAGAAAAAATAGAAAATCCTGTGTAAAGATTATTAAAACAATAATTGAAACTGATTATGAGGAATATTTTTTTACTTTTAATATTTATATTAAAATGTACAGTGCGATATGTTATCGTTGCGTTATTATCACGTTTATATGGTACACTTATAGTGCAATCGACGATACGGGGAAACGAGTCGCGCGGCCATAATGAAGATGCGACCGACGTGCACCATACGCTAGATGCAATTGCGCATTACGCAGCGCAAAGCGCGTTGGGAAGCGCCGGGCCGGCCAGATAATTACGTTATACTTTGTACTGTATGTGCGCTTAGAAGCGGCATTATCGTTATCGTCATGGGAGATGACGGCTGTGTACGTCGCGGATAATCCCTGTTATTTTCAGCAACGCTGAGGCAATTCGTTCGACATTATACCAAGTACTTGTAAAATTGAAATCTCTACGAATTATCGTCGTTATTGTTGTTGTTAAAGGCCCTTAGCGTTGCTGTGTAATGAAGAACCGAGATACGGTTACGCGTATGAAAGAACGAACGAAAGATGCTCTCTGACTTTAGAGAGCAGAAATAATCCGCTTTCAAAACTGATGTAACATATGGGTGAGATAAATTAAAATGGCAAACATATGGAACGAATTTTTAAAAATGTGATATTTTTATTCTATATTTGAATTTGCAGTAATTTACTATTTTCAGAAAAATTTGAATTAAATACAAAAGACTAGTTTTTTTCATTATATATTGACTCTTGCATGACTAGAAAAAATAAATCATACATAGATTTTACGAAATAGGATGGATACGATATTTCTATGAATATTAAATCTCGATTTAAAAACTTACTTTATAAAAGATATTCATAGAAATCACAAAACCATACTTAAGTCAGATTCTAAATTTTTATTTGATAAACGAATTCATTTGACGCACGAGGATAAGGCGATAGGGAAACGCTTGAATAAAGTAAAAGTTTACGTAGCAATTTTATTTGAATAACCTGCCGAATATAGGGAGCCGAGTCGGATAAACCCAGCTTTGCGCGTCGGATGGATGGAATCGCACGCGGATAACACGAATCGTCGGGAAATTCGATGGCAGGGAAAATAGTGGATTCTTGCTCGACGCCACCCGATCAAGCAACCACCTTCTTCTTTCTCATGGCCCGCGAAGAGATTGAACAAGACTGCTGAATTGCGCCGAATGTCTGGACAGGGAGCGGAGGAGTGCCGCAGGGATTCGCAAATTCACCGTGAAATCTTCAGCAAACGGAAGTAAGGTAACTCATTTCCGTTTCATCGAGACTTTCTGTAGCATTAAAAGAGCTCGGTGAGGGGGAGGAGGGTGGAAGGGACGCGGGATCAAGCTGGAAAAAGCGGTCTGAGATGGAGCTAAGAGAACGACGGATTAATTAACGTAACGTAATTACTGCGCACATTGTGCGCGTCGCGACGCTTCGAAGCCGCAGATGAAAGGGTCAAAAAACTCAAACACTTTTCATCTCCGGGATCTTAATGTTATGAGAACGTTCTTCCTCCTTCTTCATTTGGAAATGTAAACGTACCTTTGAGTATAACTTTAAAGTTATTATTTCAATTCACGGACATTTAATTACATACTATTAATTTTTGCAGTTGTTTTGTCAAGCTATAAAATTGATTCATTCAATAGTAGAAAAAAAAACATCTCTGATAATGTTTGTAGTCGTAAAGAAATAATTCATGAAATAAAGAGAGATCTTTTTCCTCTCACAAACAAAAAAGTTTCTCGATTGAAAGGGTTGAAGGAACATAGACTGGTTAGAGCCTTTTCTTCTAGACGGATAAACCATCGGTCAAACGACTGCGATCGCTTGCGAATTATTTCTTAGTGGTTGATAGCATTGATCGATGGATTAGGTTTGGATTAAATGATATATGATCGATAGTGGAAAAGGGGATGCTTTTATGACCATAGAAAGGTTGTTGCTCGATATTAACTCTTTCATGTCCTCTTTCATGTACCTCTTTTTAGATACTTTAGAAACATTATTCGATCAGAGCTATATTGTTAAAAGTATAAAAAATATATTAAAAAATATAACATGTAAAACAATGTTAATAATGTTGAAATTAATTTGGAAATTTAATTTATCGTTAATAAATAATTTATCTCAATGCATAGTTAATCGCTCTCTCTTTTTTACAATGAGCAGAATAATTTTCTTATTCAAATGAACTCAAATTTCGTGTAAAATTATTTTAATTGCGCGTAATTAAATTGATTAAAAATTATTGTTTCATATTTTTAACACATAAATTAAAATAAATGGATTTCGAGCCTCTATCCTTCAATTATCAAAAGAATATTCTCGTTTAAATTTTAGCTGCACGTGAAGCTTGATGCAATCATGAAAGGCGTCATAAAAGTAGGTTGCAGAAAATGAAAGCGTACAACGAAGTGGCGTAGAAGATCGTTTACAGAAGTCGATGACCGGTCTTGTATACACAGCGATCCTTGTATCCGGTAACCGAATCGACGAGTGCGAGATCCGAGGTGCTCGAATTAAGCCGCCATTCCGGGTCGACCGATTTGTCGAACGACACAACCGAGGCTGCGAGCTTTTCTCTCTCTTTCTCGGACCTGCAGCCCCCGATGAGCTTTATCGAGTGGACCTTTCTCACTTTTCAAGCCCGGGCGGATTTCCGTTCAAATGCACCGAAGAAAAGAAGATTTACCGAGGCGATCCGAAACCGGCTCGGCAACAGTGGCGTGGCGGCCTTCTTCTTTCAGGGATTACCAAGTTGACTTTCGCCGCTCAGTGGCGGTTGTATATAAAACCCACTTCGTGTTGGAAGAAGGGATTATTGATTGAAATAGGTCACCTTCACCAGTGGCCTCCGCCCCTTCGATTCCGTCTTTCCATTTGTGCTCGTGGAAAGATCTCATCGTTGACCTCTTTTTAAAGAATCCGATGACTTGAGCTTTCTCCCCCTCTCGATAGAATTTCTGCTATATCAGTCATTTATATGTAGTGCGTGTAATGAATAAAAAAAAACAATGCAAAGTTAGTTTTTATAATACATTATGTTTAAAACCGAAAAGAATCTTTTTTGCCTGTGAATGAGATATTTTAGAGAGATTTATCACATTTGAAATTTATCACAACATTTTAGACTATATTCTCCAAATAAACGAC